AGTAGAGCTGCCCCACAGGGTTTCCAAGGCTTTAAATCTTTATGGAAGCAGACTGCCACATCTTTATCCCAGGGAGCGGCCAATGGGTTGAACCACTGATCTTTTTTTGGTTAGCAGCCGAATGCTTTAACCACTATGCCACCACAACACCTTAATCATAGAATAATGTGTGATAACTATAGTTGTAAATTGCTGAAATGTAATTGTGGTGTAGTGAATTACTTAATATGGCCCTTCTAATCATAGTTTTTTACCTTCCACCACATGACTGGGTAGGACTATGCAAATATGAGGTGCTTGTGGCCTACCAAGGAGATTGGATAGCTTGCTAATAATGTAAATAAGGTCCCTGGTACCCTTGTGGGGCAGGAGCATGCAAATAAGATGTATGAACCTCTAACAAGGGGATAGGTCCCTTTTGCCATGCAGCTAGACTTAAAATGAGCCATCCCAGAGGCAGAAAAGGGGGATCTCACTACCTTCAAGAAAGAAGAGCCAGGAGTGAAACAGATCCTTTGGAACTGGGACCTGGGATCCATGACCCAGGAGACAGAGAGAGAGCTGTAATACCCTACTGAGATGGTGAGAAGCAGTGGCAGAGAAACAATGCCAACAGAACCAGGAGACTGGCAAAAGATGGCACAGTAGGCTTCCAGGCCTACAGAGCAAGAAAGCTGAGCACCTCTGGGCCAGAGGCTTGCTGGTAGAGTAGGGTGCCTCCAGGTACTTAGTAGAGCTAGTTTGCCAACCCATGGAGCTACAGCTGAGCTCATTAGGGCAGAGGTTTACTGGTGGTGTAGGGTGCCTCTGGGCATTTATCAGCAGAGCTAACAGAGCTTTGCAACATTTGCTCAAGCAGGGCAGAGGCCAAGGGACCATGAGGCCAAGAGGCCAAGGGCCAGAGAGAAGCATGCCGGCGGGCACTGCTGAGAAGAGGCTGCCCTGATTGGAGAACTGTGTCCTAAATCACTGCATATCCCAAATTATAATGTGTTACTTTCCTAATAAACCCCATAATCCCAAGTATTATCTGTGAGCTCTGTGTGGCCACTGCAATGAATTATTGAACCCAGCAGAGAGTTGGTGTCAGAATTGGTGAAAAGTTTGAAAGGTGGAAGCATGTCTGACCTTTGCCTCATAGGAATCAGCCTTGGGCTGATGCTGATGGTGATTCTCTCTCTACTTCATAAAGTGAAAGGAGGTCAGACAATGCCTCCACACCATTTTATAATAATATTTCTTATATGAATACTAACAACAAAGTTGTTTTGTAAAATCCTTCTACATTAAATTATAACATTCTTATTTATAACATTGGTAGTAACTGAGCAGAAACCTATTTTAATTTTTCTCCTTCTTTTCCTTTAATTACAACGTCATTCTCAAAAAAGTTATTGATACCGGTTCACAAATACTAATTACTACAACATGGTAGCTAAAACGCCAGTAAATTTACCAAAAATCAGTGACTATAAAGACATCCAGTAATGAAAACAACAGTGTGTACTTTTAGCACGTGCAGATGAAACCATGTGATCCAAAGCATCATTGTAATTAGGTAATAATGACAGCTCTGACCAGAGCACATTAGAACATTCAAAAAATCAGTTAGCATAGAATTTTAGCATTGTAAGTATATTGATGCATGTGAGCTGGGCTTGCGAAAAATGTTTTTGTTATTATAACTAACTACAGGGATATTTTTATTAAAAATGAATTTCTGTTGAAACATCGCACAAAATTTTATAGACAGTCATTTTGATGTCAACCCCTCTGACAGTGTCATCCGGTGCAGTCTATACCACTTGCATTCCTGCATGCCACTGTTCTTTCCACCTGGTCTTGATTTGGGGCATGGACCATGGCGGTAGGGGAGTAGGGTGGGAATTACTTTGTGTCTTTTAGCCTCTACTGAGCCATTCCACTGCTTGGAATATATCCTCATCTCCATCCTTTTAAGACCTAACGCATATGCCACCCCTCCAGAAAGTCTTCCTGGATTGTTTCATCTTAATTCATCTCTCTCTTAGATTCTGTGTTCTCTGGGCAGTTCACAGAATATTCTGTCTCTTAGACCTAACAATGATTTCAGATTTCATCTCCCTTTTTCCCCACACTGAGGAAGCTCTTGTTCTGCTGTGATTAAAGCATTGGGCTGCTAACCAAACAAGTTGGTGGTTGGAACCTGTGGTTTGAACCTACCAGCTGCCCCATGGGAGAAAGATGAGGCAATCTGCGTCCATGAAGATTTACAGCCTTGAAAACTCTATGGGACAGTTCTACTCTGTCCTATATGATCACTGTGAATTGGAATCAACTTAATGACAGTGGCTTTTCTTCACCCACAGGCTTGTTGCTGCTCCCTCCCTTGTCTTAGGAACCACCCTCCAGGTCTCAGATCTCTAGGGAGATTCAGTGGAGCAGAATGTGAAGGTGGGAGATTTCAGATTGTGGGAGGGCTTGGCTTGCAATCTTTTATTCAGTCCACACTTATTGAACCCCTCCTGGGTGATAGTTTCTGCTGGGCTTGGGGCCATTAATCGAGGATGGAGACCTGCTTTGGTCCTAGGCTGGCATAGGGCCAGAGAAAGGGCTATTTCTTTGTGGAGGGCCCAGGGTGTGTTGGGCCCGAAGCTAGATCCTGGGGACCCCAAGGTGACTTTGCCTGAGCCCCACCCCAGCAGAGGAACAATTTAGGTTAATCAACCTCTTCTCTGGCCTGGCTTACTACCTTTTTATTTCCTGGATTATGTGTTTTCTCTGGAAGGGCATGACATGGCAGTCCTTTCTGCACTCCCAAGACTCTCAGGGATCTGAGGAGGAGGGTAATGGAGCAGGTGATGGCTTGGAGGACACAGGTCTGGCTTCCCGGGTCTGGAATGGGAAATGGGAGTCTGGGTTCTGCTCTTGGCTCTGTATGAACCAGCCCCTTCCAGTCTGCTGTGTACCTGAGGGTAAGTCTTGTCCTTCTCTGGGCCACCATTTCCAAGTCCCTGAAGATCTATTGATTGTTGATTAGTGATTAGGCCCAGTAGAGCAGGCAGGAGTGAGGCAATGATTTGTGGCCCCTGAAGGACCCTAGCAATGCCTTAGTCAGTGAGCAGGGAGCAGTGCTTGTGGCCTGCAGAGAAAGCTGCCAACTGAGGCCTGAGCTGACTTGAGAGCCCTTGTTTAACATTCCCCCACGCGCCCATCCTTGCCCTGCCTGATTCTAACCCACTGCCAGCATGGAGATAACAGGAGTTTGGCCAAACACAGCCTCCTTCCCATGTGGTCTTGGTTTCTGAGCTTTCTTAACCTGCCTCTGAGCCCCTTCCCGCTCTGAGGCATCTGGGCCAAGTTGAGCAAGCTCCTGGTCTAGGAGTTAGAATTGATGAAGGCTTCTTGGAGGAAGTAGCAGTTGGGCTGGGCCATGGACAGTGGGTGAGGAAAGTGAGATAGGATGAGTAAGTGTGCTTTGTGAGTAGAGCTCTTCAGAAGGAAGGGGCTCCAGGCTTGGGACCAGTCAGACTGCCTGGGTTCCAGTGCTGTTCTGCCATCTGCTAGCTGTGGAACCTGTGGGATATATTTTTTATAATTCTCTATGTCTCATTTTCATCATCTGTAAAACGAGTATAAGGAAATCTCCCTTATGAGTTGCTGTAAGGATGAAACAAGAAAAAACATGTTAAGCCTTTAGCTCAGAAAGTGTTGGCTATTGTCATCCTCATCACTGTTCTTACAAGTACTTGTGGAAGATATAGGGGGAAAGGAGGAATACAGAAGTAAAGCAGTTAGGACCCTGTTCTTGATGTTTTTGCAGTCTGTGGGGGACAATAAGGTCCAGACCCCTACTAACTGCAAAGCAATGAGCAGGGGTGGCATGGCCCTGGACTGGGAGGTGGGCCACCCTGGGTTTGAATCCACCTCTGCCTCTGACTAGCTGTGTGACCTTAAGCAAGTTACTTCACCTCTTTGGCTTGTTTCTTCTCTAACACAGAGATGGGGTATAGCTGACCTCATGGGTTACTGGGAAGATAAAGCAAGGGCCAGTCATGATGACTGACATGTGGTGAGAACTCCCTGAAGAGTAATCTTTACTAAAATGAATAATATACAAAGTGATGACATCATTAAGCGGTACAGATAAAATGATCTGTTGGTAGATCAGGGAAAGCTCTTTAGAGGGGGTGGTGGCGTTTGAGGAGTCCCTAAAAGAAACTCTAATGGTGTAGTGGATAAGACATTTGGCTGCTAACCAGAGGTCAGTGGTTCAAACCCACCAGCTGCTCCGAGGGAGGAAGATAAGGCAATCTACTTCTGTAAAGATTCAAAGCCTTGGAAACCCAATGAGTGTCACTGTGTGTCAGATTCAACTCGATGGCAGTGGGTTTGGTTTTTGGTTTTAAGTGGTGCAAATGGTTAGATGCTCAACTGCGAATGGAAATGTTGGTTGTTTAAAGCCACCCAGAGGTGCCTTGGAAGGCAGCCCTGGTGATCTGGTTTGAAAGGTCACTGCCTTGAAAACTCTGTGGAGCACAGTTTCACTCTGCAACACCTGAGGGCGCCACAAGTTGGAATTGACTAGACAACAGCTGATTTTTTGTTTTGGTGGCATTTGTGTTAGGTGAGAAGGCTGGAAGGATTAGGGCACATAGAAAGGGTGTGATGACAGGAAAGGGTCCTAGGTAGAGAACGTGTGCAAACCACAATCCAGAAGCAGAAACTCACAGGGCAGGTGGGAATCATGAGCCATTGAACTCCCTCTGGCCACGGGTCCCGAGAGAGGGGAAGTGAGCTGTCAGGAAGGTCCTGATGTCAGGGGCCTTGAAAGCCAGGGTGAAGATTATTAGCTTGATTCTCTGTATCCTGGGGAGGAAAGGGGGTTTTGATGAGGAGAGAGCCACGAATGGAACGAGGCGAATGGAACGAGGCGGGAGGAAGATGAATCTGGCAGTGTGGGCTGGGTAGATTGGCGGGGGAGAGACTGGGGGAGGAGAGGCCATTTAAAAGGCTGTTGCAAAATCCGTTTTCCTGATAAAGAGCTGGGCTGAGTCATCTGTGGAGGAGAGAAGTTACATCCAGCTCTTCCTCGGTGCTGTTGATGTGGGATTTTCCTTTTTTCATCAGTGAGGCAATTGGTTGCCTTTCGTGGAGGCTTTGGGAACCGAGGCCACTCAGCCAGCTACTGGGAGCATCTAACAGGAAACTGGGCTGCAGAGAGGAACCAGCTGGAGTGAGTAAGAGGAACACTCCAAGAGGCTTTTGTGGTTTGGGGTATGTGACTTAGGGCATGTGGCATCCCCTCTGTGGTCTCAGTTTTCCCTCTGGGCATCAAGGGAAAAGCATGTGGGGACTTCTCCCACCTTGTCAGTGAACTGGGCCTGGGCCACCCCCTCCTATTCTGACACTTCTACTGCGTGCGCGTCTCCCGGCAGTCATTTCCACCTTAAACAAACAAACGTACTGCTGTGGAGTTGGAGACTCATAGCGACCCCTCCTTGGGTTTCCGAGTCAGTATCTCTATGGAAGTAGATTGCCCAATCTTCCTTCCAAGGAGTGGCTGGTAGGTTTGAACCACCAGCCTTCTGGTTAGCAGTCTTAATTAGCCTTAGGCACTACGCCACCTTAGCATGGCTTATTCTTCTCTTGGGAGAAGGGCTGGCAGTCTGCTGGGACTAAGCAAGTTGTACTCACCAGGATTCTCATGTGGATGGAGAACTCCCTAGAGAATGGAGATTGTGTCATTTCCTTCTTTAGGAGGAGGTTGCAGAGCAGGGACTGCAAGATAGCCAGGCCATTACTCAGGCTTCGTTCATCTTCCTGCCCCCAGCTGAGCCAGAGGTTGAGCAGCTGCCAGCTACTGGTTCCTTCCTGACCCCACCAGGGGGGCAGCTTACCCAGCCTGTTTACCCGTCTTGTTGCCAAGACTCTTGGACAGCCACAATAGGCTGCCTCCAGCCAGTCTCTCTTCCTACCTCTGCTCCCTGTCCCACCCCACCTGACCCAGGCCCAGACACTCCCATTGACGGCAGCCGTGTGAAGAAGCATTTCCTTGTATTCTCCTTGTCCTGACCTTTTGCTCTGGTCTCTCTTCCCCTGCCCTACCTCCCTCCTGTGGATCCTTGGTCCAGACACACCTGATGGTGGGCTGAACAGGCATCTCTGCCTGCAGAGAAGGGATGAGGATAAGGGAAAGGGCTTGTTCCTGCCTGAGTAAAACTAGAACTGGAGTCTCCTGACTCCCAATCCCATGTTCTTTCCACTCCACTAGTCTTTTATACTCTATCAGTCATTTCTACCTTAGTAAAAATAAGTTTACCAGCTCTTCTCCTGGGAGGAAGAAGGGAGAGGAAGCATGTGTTGAATTTGCAGAAGGCACTGCTGAGGCACAGTGATCATAGATGAGGAAACAAGAGTCCTGCAGACCATCGTCCAGGAGCCCTCTGGGGGTCTATTGGTGCCCCCTTCTCCAGAGTTCAGGTCTGGGAGGCAGTGTAGTTAAGAGATGAGACTCATCAACTAGACTATCTGAGTTTTGAATCTCTGCTCTGTTGTTTACAAGTTGTATGATCCTGGGCTGGCTTCTCTTTCTCTCTGTTTCATCTGCAAAATGGGAAGAATAATGGGACTTTGCTCTCCAAGCTCTGGTAGCATAGTGCCTAAGGCATTTGACTGCTAACCAGAAGGCTGGCAGTTCAAACCCACCAGCCACTCCTTGGAAGGAAGACTGGGCAATCTACTTCCGTAGAGATGTTGTTGTTGTTGTTATGTGCCGTCGAGTCGGCCCCGACTCATAGCGACCCCTCCTTGGGTTTCCGAGGCAGTATCACTACGGAAGTAGGATTGCCCAACCTTCCTTCCGAGGAGTTACCACCTTGGAAACCCAAGGAGGGGTCGCTATGAGTCGTATTTGACTCTGCCGCATGAGTTTGGGTTTTTTTTTTTTTTTTTTTGCTCTCAGGATTGTTGTGAGGGTTGAATTAGAGGATGAGTAGAAAGTACACAGCCAAGCACCTGGGCTATAGTGTTGTTGTTGTTAGGTGGCCCTGACTCATAGCGACTCTTCCTTGGGTTTCCGAGGCTGTATCACTATGGAAGTAGATTGCCCAATCTTCATTCCAAGGAGTGGCTGGTAGTTTTGAACCACCAGCCTCTGGTTAGCAGTCAAGTGCCATAGGTACTATGCTACCAGATCTCCTGGGCTATAGTGAGGGCTCGGTAATTATAGAAACCATTGCCAGATTCCTCATTGGAATGATTATGCTCAGAGTTTCTCACCTCCTCCCTGACTTAGGGATTTAACCCTGCTGGATCCAGGTCTCCTGACCCCAGGCAGTTCTTTGTGTTTATGCTCCACATCTTCCTCTCTTGTAAGCCTGTCTTTAGGGCTCCTGATCTGACACCTACAGTGGGCCTTTAAAGGGCCAGCACCCAGCCTGTCCCTCTGGAGGGTTAGATTAGGAGAGTCTCCATAGCCAGCCCCTTAGATGCAGGTTGCAGCCAGGCAGATGAAAGCTCAGTGAGGCACCTGCCCTCTGTGGCCCTTGGCTACCTCCTACTACTCTGACACCAGGGAGCATCATCTTGGACCCTGCTGGCTAGGGTATTTCCAGAGGTGGCAGTTTCCTAGTCTGGGGAATTTTGGATTGAACTGTCTCCCTGGTGCCTTGGGATGGGGGACTTTGGGATGCCTGCAGTGGGCCTAGACCCTACCCCCACTTCCCCAGCCTTGTTTATGCAGGGTGGCAAAAATCGTCTGGATTGCTGGCTGGGTCCAGTCCAAGCCTCCCGCCGAATTCCTTTTCCATTGAGTCACTGCGGGCCAGGGTGAGGGCACGGGAGCTCTTCTTGGAGGGCAGGGCTCACTCACCCCCTGACCTTTTCTGCCCAGTTGCTCTTGTCTAAGAACAGCAGCTCAGGGGAGGTGCCAGGCTCAGAGAGGCAAGGGGGTCAGTTAGTGGTAGCCCAGGCTGTGAATGGAGCTTGGTGGGAGTCAGCAGACCTGGGTTCTGGACCCACAGCTTTCTGTGCAACCCTGACAATGACCTTTCCCTTTCTAAGTGTCATGGGCCAGCTTATCTCTGAGGGCCCTTCACCTTCTGACATATGAGGATTTTCTAACCCATGGCTGCTAACCTAAAGAGTGGTGGTTCAAACCCACCCAGTAGCTCCATGGAAGAAAGGCCTGATAGTCTGCTTCTGTTATAATCACAGCCAGGAAAACCATATGGGGCAGTTCTGCTCTGTAACCCACGAGAGCAGCATGAGTTGGAATAAACTCAGCAGCAACAGGTTTGGTTTACTTTGGCCTTTTAGAACCACCCAGCAGATGGATTGAAGCAGAAAAGTGAAGAAAAAAGCAGAAAAATGCAGGGACTTTGAGACATCTGGATTGTTCAAACATGGGAGCACTTTCTATGTGCCTCATAGAGTGCTGGTGGTATAATGCCTAAGGCATTTGACTGCTAACCAGAAGGCTGGTGGTTCAAACCCACCAGCCACTCCTTGGAAGGAAGACTGGGCAATCTACTTCCGTAGTGATGCTGCCTCGGAAACCCAAGGAGGGGTCACTAGGAGTCGGACCTGACTGGACAGCAGTGAGTTGGGTTTTGGTTTGGAGTATTATGGGAACTAATTGCTCTCTGGAGTGAGGTGGAGTAAGATGTGAAGCCCAGTTCCACTGCTTTCTGGCTCTGTGGTTTTGGGCATCTCACTTCACCTGTCTGAGCCTTGGTTTTCTTATCAATAAAATAACAATAATGATAGTTTGTGTTTCATAGGATTGTTGTAAGAATTAAATAAGATATGTAAAGGTACACAGTAAGTGCCCAGAAAGTGTTAGCTACCATTACTAAATTGTGCCATAAGGGAATCTGTAGGGACTAAGGATGTGTATCCTGACCATATCTCATAGGGATATGAGCATCCAGGCATCTCTGAAGGATTGTCCGATTAGAAAAAGGAAGCTTTCTATCTTTGTGCCCTGAGGGCTGAACAGTCAAGAGGTAGAAGTTACGAGCTTACTGTAAAGAGCAACTTTATAGCTAAGAGATGCTTAATTAGTAGAAGGCATCTCCCAGGGTTGTGAGCTTCCTGTCAACTGAATGTATAAGCAGAAGTTTGCACACTCAGGGGGATGGTTTCAGGGATGTAAGAATTGTACGGAAATTGGACCTGGTGACAGCCACACCTCAGATTCTGAGGTTCTGTGAGTTGGGGCAGCAAGTTCTACCTCCCCATAGCTCTGGAAACCTCTGCTATAGGAGAGTCACATCCCCTCTCAGGACCCCAGAACTATGGAGTGAATTTCCTAGAAGAGATCTGACCCCTTCCAGGGAGTAGAGTAGGGTCACAGATTGCCGGCTAATTCCAGGATAGCATTACCCATTGCCTCATCCCAACTAAGCTTGATAACAATAAGCCCTTAGCATTCATTGCCTCATTGCTGCTCCCAAGCCCAATATGATGGCTTTTATCATCCCTTCTCAGTTAAAGAAACTCAGACTTTAAAGGTATGTTAACTTGCCAACGTCACACAGCTTGCAAATGGCAGAGCCTGGATTTGGGCCAGGCAGGCTGGTTTTTTAGTGGAGGAGATGGTCATTACATGAGATGAGCAACCTTCCCACATGGCCTTCTGGTATGGTTGGCTGCCTGCTTTCTTAGCTTCCCCCAGGGAACAGCCTGGTCAAACCCTTCGTCTTTTACAATTGAGTTGTTCTAAGCAGGAGAGGAGTCCTATGAGGAGGAGGTGTCATGGGTGAGTGGGGCAGACTGTGCTCTTACAGGTGTGTGTGTGTGGCAGGGGCAGGGAGCTAGGCCCTGACAGTAGGAGGGAGGAAAGGGGTTGGGACCAGAAGCCTGTGGTGGGTAGGCCTGTTCTCAATGAAGCTGTTGTCTGCAGCTCCTCTGCTCTGTGTGGGACTCCCTGCTGAATCCACATGCCCAATATGGGGTCAATAGGCTATACTCTGAGCCACTTTCTGGACCTCACTTTCCCTATCTATAAAATAGGGGTGGTGGAGAAATAGCTCCTCAGCAAGCCCTTCTAGCTCTCAGAGTCCATGAATCCTGAGCTGCTCTGGCAGGATGCCTAGAAAGACTGTCCCTGGAGACCCACTCGGCATGTCGTGGCCAGTGCTAATGAGGGCAAGGTAGGAGGGAGGCAGGGTCAGATTCCTCAAGAACTAATTAGCTTCCCACAGTTGGTAGGTAGAGGGGAGAGAGGGAAGAATTTTTCCAGCCAGACTGCGTTTCTAACCCTGGCCACATGCTGATCCATCTATAGGTCCATCCGCTCATCGGTTCATGCATCATTGTTCAGCAGGCCTAAACTGAGCACCTACTGGTGAACAAGATAGGCAAGGTCCTTGCCTCTGAGCTCATGTTCTAGTTGGGGAGACAGACAGTAAACAAGGAAACATGTCAAAAGGATAATTTCAAATTGTGGTGAATGCTAGAACTGAGGAGATAAAGATAAATGGTTGCCGACAGTGTCTGGTGATTTGCTTCCAAAAGGTCACAGCCTTGAAAACCCTATGGAGCGGTTCTACTTTATACACATACAGTGGCCACGAGTTAGAATCAATTGAACAGCAACAAACAATAACAATGAATCTACAGATTCATAGGCCCCACACTGAACCTGACCCTCACTAACTCTGTCCCCCATATGTCCCAAAGGGACCTTTTGCACCAAGAAGAAAGCTTGCACTGTAGACCCAGAGAGAACTGAATCTTATTCCAGCTCTGCCACCCTTAGCTTTATGACCTGGGATCAGTTACTTACAAGTCTCTGAGCCTCAGTTTCCTCTTGTGTGAAATAGGGCTGATGCCAGTCTCATAGTATTCTTAAAGTGTTTCATAAAATAATGCAAAGTTCCTGCATAGTTGCTGCTAAAATTAATGCCATTTATTACTTTTCTAATGTTAAAATATGAGAATTTTTAAATGATTATTTAAATAAAAGTGAAAGAAACTCTGATAAAAATGGTTACCTGATTGTGGTGTGGGATACTCAGGGATGGAGGGTGACTTTCACTGTAATAGCTTTTTATAAGCTTTTACTCTTGGACCATGAGAATTTATGATCTTCTCTTAAAAAAGGAAATGTTAGCAGCATGTCTCTTTAAAATCAAACCAAATCACTGTACTATGAGTTTGAAAGAATATATGGGCCTATGGAAGGCACAGGAGCTCTGGTAGCATAGTGCCTAAGGCATTTGACTGCTAACCAGAAGGCTGGCAGTTCAAACCCACCAGCCACTCCTCTGAAGGAAGGTTGGGCAATCTACTTCTGTAGTGATACTGCTTCAGAAACCCAAGGAGGGTTCAGTATGAGTTGGGTCCAACTCGATGGCACATAACAACAACAACATGGAAGGCACATAGAAAATGTTCTGGGGGGTTCATTCATGCATTCAGTAATATGTACTGGGGGCCCCCTTTCTGCCAGGTGCTATTCTAGGAGCCAAAGTTAGAGTGTTAAACAAGGTAGACAATTTCATTGCCCTAAGCTTGCTAGTGCCTAGGGCACTTGACTGCTAACCAGAAGGCTGGCGGTTCAAAACCACCAGCCACTCCTCAGAAGGAAGGTTGGGCAATCTACTTCTGTAGTGATTCTGCCTCGGAAACCCAAGGAGGGGTCGCTATGAGTCAGAGCCAACTCAATGGCATATAACAACAAACAACAACAAGCTTGCTTTAGTAAAGAGGATCATTTTAAATTATAGTAAATGCTATGAAGAAAATAAAACAAAGAAATGGGATAAGAGAAGAGAAGGCTGATTTTAGAGGGAGGTCTCTCCAGACAGGTGACATTCAATTTGAGCCCTGAGTGGCAAGAAGGAACCAACATGAATTGCCACCTATGAAAAGATCAAGTTGAGAACAGCAAGTGCAAAGGCCCTGAGGCAAGAATAAGCTTGACATTTTCAAGGAACAGCAAGAAAGCCAGCATGGCAGAGCCTAGTGAGAGAGGAGAAGAGGGGAAGATGAATCAGGGATGACTGCCAGGGTGAGGAGTTTGTACTAGTTTGGTAAAGTATGGTGTCACCAACTTTCAGGAGAAATCCAAATGAAGGATCTGCTAATCTTGGAGGGATAATCATGATAGGCTTCATCCAGGTGATGGCATTTGAATGCCTTGAAGGGTTGATCAGAGTTTGTTAAGAGAAGAGGTGATTCTAGGAAACAGTAAAGATCAAATTCCAGAAAAGAAGATCATGTTGTAGGAGGGGCTCAGGTGACCACCTCTCTGTTCGTCTGTGTACCCCTGTGGTCCTGCATTCCCATTTGCTAACTGGGTCTCTGTCTCCCCTGCAGCATTGGGCCGGAGTACTAGCTTCACCGAGAAGGACCTGAAGGAGGCCAAGGCTTGGAGCCAGCAGATTGCAGCCCAGCTGACCACCCCTCCCAGCTCTAACTCCCGTGGCGTCCAGCTCTTCAACAGACGCCGGCAGAGAGTAAACGAGTTCACCTTGGAAAGCCACGGCCAGAGAGGCCAGCAGCCCAGCCCGGAGTGCTTCAGAGCGCTTCCTGCCAGCCCCACAGGCCATGCCCAGGGGCTCAGCCTGAGTCCCACATCACTCCCCGAGTCAGGCCTTCCAAGGAACCCCGACCCCCAGAGCCCTGGCACAGAGACCCCTGGCCACAGCATGGAGGGGTACTCAGAGGAGTCCAGCTTGCTGCGGCACTTGGAGAAGGTGGCCAGTGAGGAAGAAGAGGTGCCACTAGTGGTTTATTTAAAGGAGAACGCAGCCCTACTGACGGCCAATGGGCTCCACCTGTCCCAGAACCGCGAGGCCCAGCAGGCCCCACCGATCCTGCCTCCAGCTGAAGTTCATAGCCCAGCTACAGATGTCAACCAAAACCTTTCCTCACCCAGTCCCACACTCACCACACCAACTTCTAACAACAACCACAACCCGCCATCCACAGATGTCAACCAGAACCCACCAGCAACTGTCATTCCACAGAGCCAGGCACTTTCTAGCACCCAACAGAATTCTTCTGAGGAAAAGCTGCCACCAAATGGCACAGTGCCAGATTCTAAACCCAGCACCCTATGTGCTGGTGGGCAACCACAGCTGCCGGCTACAGAAGTGAAATCCAGCACACTCGTAATTGATAAGGTTTCAGCTCCCCCTTCCACCACCAACACCTTCTCCAGGGAAGCCACTTCCATCCCCAGCTCGGAGGCCTCAACCCCAGAGTTCATGTGCAGTTCCCTGCTCATTGATATCCAGCCCAGCACCCTGGTGGTGTCAGCAGAACAAGGGATGCCTGGGCGGGTAACTGCCCCAACACCTACCAAGCTATATAGTGAAGTCCACCTCACACTGGCCAAGTCCCCATCAGTGGTCAACAGGACAGCCAGGCCCTTTGGGATTCAGGGACCAGGGGGTACCAGCCAGATGGAACGAAGCCCGATGGTAGAGAGACGACATCTTGGAGAGAAGGTCTCAGCCCCCCAGCCCTCCACCATAGCAGACAGAAGCCCCCGGCCACAGAGACACATAACGTCCCATAGCCCCATGATGGAGAGGAGGCCCTTGGTGCAAAGAAGCCCAGCTTTGGAGAGACGGCCTTTCGGGAACTTCACCCCACCCCCCACCTATGCTGAGACTTTGTCCACAGCCCCCCTGGCTTCCCGGGTGAGGTCTCCTCCCTCTTATTCTGCCCTGTACCCCAGCTCTGACTCTAAACCTTCTCATTTGAAGGGCCAGGCAGTTCCTACCAGCAAGACAGGCATTTTGGAGGAGTCAATGGCCCGCCGGGGCAGCCGGAAATCCATGTTCACCTTCGTGGAAAAGCCCAAGGTGACCCCAAATCCAGACCTGCTGGATCTGGTGCAGACAGCTGATGAGAAGCGGAGGCAGAGGGACCAGGGGGAGGCAGGCATGGAAGAGGAGCCCTTCGCACTAGGGGCAGAGGCTTCCAACTTCCAGCAGGAACCAATACCCAGGGACAGGGCCAGCCCTGCAGCAGTCGAGGAGGCCCTCCCAGAGTGGGCCTCGTGCCTCAAGTCACCCCGTATCCAGGCCAAGCCAAAGCCCAAACCCAACCAGAACCTCTCTGAGGCCTCCGGAAAGGGGGCTGAGCTCTATGCCCGCCGGCAGTCCCGGATGGAGAAGTATGTCATTGAGTCTTCAGGTCACGCCGAGTTGGCCCGCTGCCCGTCACCCACTATGTCCCTGCCTTCATCCTGGAAATACTCTACTAATGCCCCTGGGGGTCTCCGAGTGGCCTCTCTCAGCCCGGCCCGGACCCCACCTGCCTCCCTCTATCATGGCTACCTGCCTGAGAATGGGGTCCTGCGCCCAGAGCCCACCAAGCAGCCACCATACCACATGCGGCCCTCGCTCTTTGTCCTCTCACCCATCAAGGAACCTGCCAAGATCTCCCCAAGAGCTGCCTCACCCAGAGCTGCCTCACCTGCCAAGCCGAGCTCCCTGGACCTGGTGCCCAGCCTGTCCAAAGTGGCCCTCCCCACGTCTCCTGCTCTGCCTAGGCCCCAGGGCTCCTCACCAGCTCTCTACACCTCACCTGGCCAAGATGGCCTCCAGCCTACTGCTGTGAGCCCAACCTACAGCAGTGATATCTCCCCTGTGTCTCCCTCCAGGGCGTGGTCTCCTCGAGCTAAGCAGGCCCCACGGCCCTCCTTTTCCACGCGCAACGCCGGGATCGAGGCTCAGGTGTGGAAGCCTTCCTTCTGCTTCAAGTAGCCAGACCCCACAGAGGGTCCCACTGCCTGTCAAGGCCTCTTTCTGAGGGCCCAATGGAGATCAAATAGGGCAGTAGATGGCACAGGGCTGAAAGTCAGGAGTATGGGAGTCTGAGATCCAAGGTCTGACGCTGCCACTAGCTAGCTTTGTGACCTTGGGCAAGTTGCCCCCATCCCCCCCAAGTTACAGCTGCCCCTTTCCACAAGGGGCCCTGGACTCCATGTCTGAGAGATCTGATGGCTGATTCTGGGTGAGGAGGAGGGTTATGGGGCAATCTCCCTGGCAGGCCCTAATGAGGCTGGCAGGACTTCCTTTGATCTCCATGAGCTATAGGGCTGCCAGGTCCCATCCCAGTGTCTTGCTGGGGAAATGGTCTAGAGAGGGCCCTGATGGGTTTTTGGAGCAAACGGAATCTGATATGCCCATGGAATCAGCCTATCAAGGGTCTGCCACTTCAGCTACCTGAGGAGGGCCTCCCTCATTGGAGCCCAGGCTCCTGGAATCTTTCTGCCTCTTGCTGGATTCTCACCTCCACAGGCCTCTCTCTTCCACCTCTGCCTTCTGGACACCGCTTCCTCTCCACTGCTTCAGAGAGCTTTGCCTTGATTTCCACCTTTTCTCCTCCCCTCGGGTCTTTCTGCTGGATGAGGACTTAGCCCCCTACTGCTGTCTGACTCGTTTTCCTGCCCTTCTGCTCAACCACCTGCCTGCCTTCTCCAAGCATCTGGCTCCACTTTAGGGAGTCTCCTTGGGGCCTACATCTCAGTCCTGGTTCCACCCAGCTTGCCTCCATTGGCCTGCAGTGGGAGAGGTTACAGGGGAATGGGACCCTGAGGGGCGGAGGGTATGCAGAAAGGCAGAGGGTGTGCAGAGAGATCCCAGCAAAGTATCCATTGGCTGGTTTTAGCTTCAACCTCAGCCAGTGAAACAGGCCCCAGAGAGAGAGGCAGGAGAGGAGGGTTCTAGTCCCAACTCAGACAGCCATTTGCTATGTGACTTTGGCCAGTCACTTTCCCTCTCTGGGCCTCAGTTTTCTAACCTATATAATGAAAACCCTTGCAAGCATGATAGTCGGTGAGCATAGTCTGGTGCTTTGGGAGAAAGTCTTTGTAAGTGATAAACATTCCCCTGGAGAGAGAAGGAAAGGAAATAGACTGCTGCCGTAGGACAGATGAAGGTTAGATACTAGTGAGGGTACCCTGGGGAGGGTGTGGTTGGAATGAACTGCTGCAGGAGGCCAAGGGATCTAAAAGCCTAGGCTGGGTTGGCTTGGGCTCAGAATTGCCTGGAGACAGGGCAGCATGGCCAGGGCTGGGTCAGGCAGGAGAAGAGCAGCTCAGGGGAAAGGGACAGAAGAGGCCTTAATGCTCTGAGGAAAAAGCTGGGACTTAAGAGGTCTGGATCCTAACGGACTGACTCTGTGTGTATCTTTGGGTCTCAGTTTTCTCATTTGTACAGTAAGGGTTTTGAGTTAGGTAGTTGAGGTCTCTGCTACCTCTGACAGCTGATGTTCTATAGCCCCCAAAACCAGGGCTTTGTGGGGAGTGAGAGAATACAGAAGCAAGAGATAGGATTCAAATGGAAGAGTCCTAAGGCTGGAGGCCGAGGACCACCCACTTTCTCTTTCCCAGCCCTATTTCTGGGCTCCCCAGGGTGTGAGGGGTGGTGGAGGTGGTGCCCATGCTGGGCTGAGCCTGCAGTTTTCACAAGCTCCAGGCTTGTCTCCATGGGAACAGGGGGTGCCTTCCCAGTGAGCTCATTCCACCCAGAACGTGGGGGGTTATGCGTAGGAGAGTTGTGAGCGAGCTCAGCTCTTTCCTGCTAGCCCCCTCACCCCACCCCCAGGAAAGAGTAATGCCCCCCTTCCCACCTCACCAGACCCCTGCTTCCTTTGACCCCTGGAGGCCAGCACTGGAAAAGCTCACCCTCCGTCCTGCAGCTCCTGCGGCCAAGGCAACCTCTTCCTTGGACTCTGTTTTTTCTCCTGTTCTCAATACACTCTGCCTCAAATCCGTCGTGCTTCTTTCTTTCTTCCCCTCTCGCCGTCTCCCCCGCTTCTCCCTGATTCTGGCCTAGAAACTGGAGCAGAATTAGTCACACTCCGTTAGTTTGTGTGAAAGTGTGGTTGTGGGGTGTCTGTGTGTGCTGCACATCTGCAGGGTGTCTGGATGTGCCATGGGACAGACACAAGCTGGCTTGGAACTGAGGGCTGCCCTGTCTTCTCTGGGCCAGCACTTAGGGATCAGAATCCTGTGGAAAGCACGTTCTGCTTTCTCCTTCCCTTGGACTTTGGCCAGAAATGATGTAGAGCATGGGAAAACCCCACAGCCCCTTATGGCCCAGGTCTGTTTGGGCTCTTCAAACATGGAATTTAAAAGCCTAGAGCCAAAGCATTCACTCTTCCATTCCTCAGGCCCCCTCCCTGCTCCTTGTTCTCTTACTCAGGCCATTTCCCACATTAGTTACTGCCTGGCTCCTGAAAAGGAGCTCTGGTGGCATAATGGGTAAGGCATTTGGCTGCTAACCAGAAGGTCAGCAGTTCTAAACCACCAGCTGCTCTACAGGAGGAAGATGAGGCAATCTACTTCCAGAAAGATTTATAGCCTTGGAAACCCAATGGGAGTCATTATGAGTCAGAATCAACTAATTGGCAGTGGGTTTGGTTTTGGTTGGCTCCTGAAAGCATTTGAGTGCACATCCCTGGTGGTGGTGGGGGGGGAAGGAACTGCCACTGAAAGGAGAACTGGGTTCTAGTCCCCACTCCTTGTGTGATCTTAGGCAACCCCTTCCCAGCTCTAGGCCTGTTTTCTCTTCTCTACAAAGGATTGCAAAAGGTAGTCTGGGAGCTCTTTTTGGTCTGTAATAGTTCATGTCTGACTCTGCTCTACTCCTGCCTTCACCCTACACGTGTGCCTGGTGTTGGAGTAAGTGGGTGCTGCCCCTGAGTTCTCACCTGCTGCATTTTCCAGGGATTCTGGTGAATGCGGTACATTGAGGTCTTTGTCAGAAAGTGAACAGATCTAAATCCCTCAGCTTTTTGTATTGTGCTCCTCCCCCCTGTCCCACAACACACACACACACTGTCAGCATTCAGACATGGAGTCAGTATGAGGTCAGGATCTGGCTTTGCTTGCCCACCTCCAAATGTTGGGGAGCTGCTCACCACTGCTCCAAACCTTCTAACCATGCTTGAGCCGGTCTGTTTCATAGTTCTGGCTGAATTCTGTTACTCTTTCCACTTTTTGGCCCTGGTGTTCCCCTTGTAGCTACCAAAGGCAGAGACAATGCTTTAGAAATGTTCAGACAGTTATCCTAGCTCCCCCTGCCCAGCCTACTCTTTTCTTGGCTGAAGAGCCCTGGTTTCTCTGCATAAATGCTTGTGGACCTGCTTGGATCATGAGCTCTTGGCCCCACCTCCCTGCCAAGGATGGCACTATGGTTGGGTGCTGGGACATGCCTGAGCCCACCATGATTTGACATTTGGCCCTATGACTCTGATTTCAGCCTCCAGCCCTTCCCTCTGGCCCCAGGGCAGGGACCTCTCTCCCAGCTCCTCTCCTAAGTTGCAGAGTCTGCCTTCTGCACTGCACCCAGTCTATTTAAAACTTCCTGGGATGTCACACAGAACACCTCCCAGTGTCCCAGCTCATGTGTACATAACTCTGACTTGGGATGAAAGAGATGAGTCCCAGTCTGAGCCTTAACTCTCCCACCTGATGACTGGGGGCTTGCATGTCCCCAAGAGGTCTCTAAGGGTCACTGCAGCACTAGCATCCCATCCTGTTCAGGCTGCTGCACAACATTCACCTTTAGGCTTAAAGGGCCCCAATTCTGAGACTGGGCTCAGCTAGCAGCCACTGCATTCTATTTGAAGAAAACACAATTTATCACTCTTGATTCCTTTGGGGTTGGGAGGAATTAGATTTTGGTTGGATGATAGAGTGTACTGGCTTGACTATGGCTGATTACTGACTATGAGAGACTGGATCTAGTGGATGGTTCTAGATGTTGATTGAATGGGGGACACTGCAGGACTGGCCAGCTCTAGACCCTTTTGGATGACTGCTGGTGAATTTGGGTTGGAGTGAGAGGCTGAGTGGACTCGTTATTACTGGAATCTGATTGGATGAATAGTTGGATGGTATAGCAGGTGCATGCTGGATGTGGGTTCCTGAGCCCTCCACTTTCAAACCAGTTCAAACTGCTTGAGCATGGTATTGCCTTTGAGCACAGATAGTGTCACACAGATACACACTTTTCTGGTGAGGAGGGGCATGGGCAGAACACAGTGGGTGGTTATTTATGTCTCTGCACTTCATTTTCCTCATCAATAAAATGGATATTTCCAGTTACCTCACCAGTCTGTTGTGAGGATCTAATGAGAGATAACATGGAAGGAAGACTGGGCAATCTACTTCCATGAAGATTTACTGCCTCAGAAGCCCAAAGGAGGTCACTATGAGTCGGAATCACTCAAGTGAGTTTTGTCTTTAAATGAGAGATAAAGGATGAGATGGAACCTTGTAGACTGGAAAATCCTTGTTGTTGTTGTTATGTGCCATCGAGTCAGACCCAACTCATAGCGACCCCTCCTTGGATTTCCAAGGCAGTGTCACTATGGAAGTAGATTGCCCAACCTTCCTTCCAAGGAGTGGCTGGTGGGTTTGAACTGTCAGCCTTCTGGTTAGCAGTCAAGTGCCTTAGGCACTATGCTACCAGAGCTCCTGGAAAATCCTTAAAGGATAAAAAACATGATGTCATCATGGAGTCAGACCTCTTTGTCTGATGCCAGGAGGAGGAGAAAGCAACACCATCAGGATCAGCCAAAGGCTAATTGTTAGGAGGTGGAGATGAGACACGCCTCCTCTGTCCAACCTTTTCACCACTTCTGACACCAGCTGTCCCTCCCACGGCACTCTCTCCTTTTTTGCTGAGTTTGATAGTTCAGTGCAGTGGCTACACAGAACTCAGACCATACTCTCATATTTATGGGGTTTATTAGGGAATAATAAACAGGACAGACCTCCTTTCTTGGCCCCCGCTCAGGCCTGGCCTCTGCTCTGCTGGGTGAAGTGTTAGACCTCTCTTTAGCTCCACCGATACATGCTTGGAGGCACCCCAGTCTACAAGCAAGCCTGAAGGCGCTCAGCTCTCTCACTGCATGGGTTGACACATCCACTGTAGGTACCTCACTCCATGGGCCAGGAAGCCCACTGTGCCATCTAATACCGGTCTCGTTTCTGCTGCTGCTGTTTCTCTGATGCACTTCTTGCCATTCATTGCCTTCTTCAGTGTTGTACCACAGCTCTCTTTTTGTCTCCTGGGTCTAGGAGGTTTTCAGCACAGGGACCCTGGGTCCAAAGGACACATTCTGCTCTTGGCTCTTCTCTCTTGATAGTAATGAGGTTCCCCCTTCCCTCCTCTGGGATGGCTCATTTGAAGCCTAGTGGGATGGCAAAACTGACCCATCCCCTCATTAGGGTTTCATACACCTTATTTTCATGGTCCCACCCCTACAAGTGTTCCTGCACTTTATTTGTATTAGCAGCAAACTATCCACTCCCCTTGGTAGGCCATAAGCACCTTATTTGAAGTCCCACCCAATCATTTTGTGGGAGTCACAAAGACTATGGCTAGAAGGACATATTAATTAATTCACAGAGAGGTAGGGAAAAGGTATGGGAGTGCCTAGCAGAGGGGTGATTTATAACCCCAAAGCATATCCAAAGGCCACACTGCCCAACCCAAGCTGGCAAAAGTTCAGTGAGGGAAGTGTGTGCCTATGGAGCAATGACCCAACTTCCTTTTGTGTTTCCATCTGTCAGTGGGCACATCTTCCTTGATCAGGCATCAGGGGAAAAATGAGGTGACCACAGCAATATGGCAAGGGGATTGGGGCTGAGTGGGCCTTTCACCAAGCCCAACCTTAATAATAATTATAATAATTTTGTGTCGCAAAAATGCAACCCACTGCTGTCGAGTCAGATCTGACTAATAGCACCCCCTTCTTGGGTTTCCAAGGCGGTATTACTATGGAAGTAGATTGCCCAACCTTCTTTCTGAGGAGTCACTGGTGGGTTTGAACCGCCAACCTTCTGGTTAGCAGTTAAATGTCTTAGGCACAATGCCACCAGAGCTCCCTTAATAATAATAGTCAATAGTTTCAATTTTTGAATAGGTTGTACATTTGTATAAATACACTTACATAAATAAATTTGAAAAACCTTATTCTTACCCTCTGTGGCTATATACTCTGTCCCTGTTTACACTATTTCCTAATGGGTAATCATTTTTGTGTGTGTCCTTCCAAACTGTCTTTCTGATAACTGCCCTTACTTTCTTCCAGGCAATGTTTTAGTACATGTAACCTTCTTTTACATGGTTAGTTCATTCAGTCCTCACAACAAACCTCTGTGTGTGTGTAAGGGGGGCGGGGACCATTGCCTTCAAGTAGATGCCAACTCATAGCAACACAGTACAGAGTAGAACTATAACCACGATAGGATTTAGCTCTGGTGGCACAGTACCTAAGACATTTGAGTGCTAACCAGAAGGTTTGTGGTTCAAATCCACCAGCTGCTCCACTGAAGGTGGTTTGGGCAATCTACTTCTGTAGAGATTTACGGGCTTGAGAAACCCAATTGGGTTTCCAAGGCTATAAATCTTTCCAGAAGCAGATTGCCTCATTTTCCTCCTTCAGAGCAGCTGGTGGCTTTGAACCGTTAACCTTTGGTTAGTAGCCAAATGCCTTACCCACTATGCCACCAGAGCTCCTTAATTTTCCCATTTTACAGTGGAGGAAGCTGAAGCCTCAAGGGCTGAAGCAACTTGCTCAAGCTCACTCAGTAAGTGAAGACATCTATCTCCAAAGCCAGTTCTTTTTGAAACATTCCGGGCTGAGAGTAGGAGTCCCTGGGTGGTGCAAATGGTTAAGCACTCCTAACCGAAAGGCTGGTGGTTTGAACCCACCCAGGGGGGCCTCAGAAGAAAGGCCTGGCAATCTGTTTCTGAAACAACGTCACAGCCTTGAAAACGTAGGTTGCCATGAGTTGCAATCTACCAGACGGCAAAATGGTTTAGTGTTTTGGTTTTAAGCTGAGTTGTGTGCCTGCGTGTTATTGCAGGCACTACATGACTCTGGGTGGTGACTTACTGGCTGTGTACAGTGGACAAATCAGACTCTGTGCCTTCCAATCCCTGGTATAGAAGACCCCAGCACTAACGCCTGACCCCGCCCTCTCTGCTCTCTCCCCAGGACCGCCGGGAGAACCTGCCCACCTCCCCGCCCTGGACTCCCGGAGCGTCCCGGCCCCCCAGCAGCCTGGACGGCTGGGTGAGTCCGGGGCCGTGGGAGCCGGGCCGCGGGAGCAGCATGAGCAGTCCCCCGCCGCTGCCGCCGCCGCCGCCGCCCATGTCTCCCTCGTGGAGCGAGCGCTCCGTATCCCCACTGCGCACGGAGCCGGAGGCGCGGCCACCCAGTCGCCAGCTGCAGGCGCTGTTGGCACGAAACATCATCAACGCAGCCCGGCGCAAGAGCGCCTCCCCGCGGCCCGCGGGCGCCGAAAGCCTGCGGCCTTTCTCTCCACCTCGGGCGCCGCCACTGCTTCCACCGCCGCCGCCGCCACCACCACCGCCGCGCATGCGTTCGCCGCAGGCCCCCCGCCCCGGCGGAGTCGCGGCACCCGGGGCTACATTCGCTCCGATCTCGCGGAGCCAGCTGCCAGCTGGGCCCTCACCTTGCGCCAGCCCCCGGAGCCCGCTGCCAGCGCCGCCCAGGCCCTTCCCCTACCGCCGCTCGCCCACAGACTCCGACGTGTCTCTCGACTCCGAGGACTCTGGAGCCAAGTCTCCAGGCATCCTTGGCTACAACATTTGCCCCCGCGGGTGGAACGGCAGCCTGAGGCTCAAGCGTGGCAGCCTCACCGCGGAGGCTTCTTGCACCACATAAATCCTGCCCCCACCTCACCCCAGCCGGTCCAGGCCCAAAGAAGGGCCGTGGGGCCTGAGGAACCCCAGCACCGCGTCCCCAGCGGTCTGACCTCTGCACAGTTCCGGATATTGAGGGAGGCAGAGAAGAGCTCTGGGTTTGGACATGGCTTAGGAACTCAAGCTTGGGGCCTATTCCTTCCTGTGTCATTCAGTTGCTGTGTGACCCTGAACAAGACCCTCTCTCTGGCCCACAGCTTTCCCATCTGTTTAATGAGGCTTTGGCAAGGCAGTCTCCGAACGTCTAAATCTCCCCTCCCATCAGTATACACCCTACACACATAATAGTGCCTTGGAAGAAGCAGGACATTGTGTATATGAACCCCTAGACTTGTTGCATTCTGGGGTTCCACACTCCTTACTTCTCATGGCTTTGCTCTCTGGAGCCTAGCAAATGAGGGGTGTATTCATAAAATCCTAAACCCATGTCCCCAGTCCAGGTCCTGGCCTGACCACCCAGCTCCTGGCACCATGTCCCAGGCAGGAGCAGCTGTTTTCCATCGTTTCCCAGACAAGCTCTATTTTTACCATAGTGACCTTTAGAAAGGCCTCCCCAGCCAGCTCAAGGTGCCCACTGGCCCCTCCAGAGGGAAGAGGTGAGAAGATTCTCCCAGGCTCTGCTCATGCTACTTTCTCTTCCACCCCAGCTCAGGCTGTCCAAGGCATCTTATCTGCAGCCAGGGAAGAGTGCTGTAAGGCTATGGCTTCCTCAGGCCCAGCATCTGGGCCTCCCCATCTCTATAGGTGCCTCCAACCCATTTCTTGGTTCTGAGCCCTTTTCATGGCAGGTTCTGAGCTCAAAACTGAGCAGGGAAGAGAGGAGATAAGGAGCCACCCTATGACTTTACCTAGTGGCCCCTGAGTTTGGGGTTATCCATTTGGAAAGAAAGAGATGAAGAGCTCCTTGTTAAGGCAGGTATACAAGCAGTGGCCAGGAGGCAACAAACAGGATTTCAGCAGTGGGTGGGGTTAAGCTCAGATGACCTCTGAGGAGCTCTATCAGTTCTAAATGCATTCCACAGTATTAAGAAGAGGGATGGGGGATTGGCTGGGCTGGAACTCAAAGGGAGATGAGCTTGGGGAGATGAGTAAGAGGTTGGGGCCAGGGTCTGCCTGTTTCTGGCCCCCTTAGAAGTACCCCAGTCTTCAGTTTCAGGCCCCAGCCCCACAGTCCACATCGTGGCCAGATAAGTGGACACGATTCTGCCTTACTTCTTTCCTACAACACTCTGGCCTAGCTAGTGCCTGATGTTTAGTGAGTGACCTTGGGGAGCCTGCTACATGCTCTAGTCTGTCCTCTGAGCCTTGGTGGCTCTTGGTGGAGGTGAGTTCTGTTGGTCTAGAGTTGGCTAGTAGTGCCCTCTAGAGATTCAGATTGTTAGCTTCAGGATGCTGTGGGTTGGCTGAGGATCAAAGGTATGTAGTGGAAAGGATGGCAGGATGTTGCTAAGGTGAGGGACAGATTGTGATCTGGGGGTAGCAGGGGACCCACCCACCCCTCAGGATGATGTTAGACTCAGGACCTCTGAGTGACATTGGGGACAGCTGACAAAAGAAAGAAAGTCAAGGTGGGAGTGGAGTGCTTTGGAATAAAGAAATGATCACAGATGATTTGGGCCAGTGCCCTTTTAGTGGGAAGAGAGGGTGCTCCTGCTAGGTGAAAGAGTGATCACATTAGTGTAGCTCCCGTCTGCTGTAGTGTGGAAGGCTGGGGGCTGAGGGGCTCTTCCAATGAAGAGATATGGATCTGACATCCGGCTGGTGCAGTGGCATAGAGGATCCACTTCTACCTGCATTTCCCCAAAGAGCCAGCAGGAGGCAGCCTTGAGAAGCTATACAGTTCTGTCTCTAGCTGTTCTCTGCTGGCCACTGCCTTCTCCCTGACCCACAACTCCAACCCATGAGAGCTTGCTTGTGTCCTGCCTCTTGCCTCCTGTAGAGTTCAGCTCCAGCTCTCAATAAATGCTTCCTGCATCCTTCTGCCCCCTGTGTCATTTTCAGATGCATCTGAAGCCTTTTCTTTCTCCCTAATCATGCAAGAATACATGGGGGCTCTGGGTAAGTAAGGATGTTTAAGACAAATGGGACAGGAGCTTGATAAGGAGAGATGGGAAAACAATGGAAAAACTTGGGACCATAAGAGAAGTTATAGGTTCAAGTCTTGGTCCTGTTGTCGACCAGCTGGGTGCTCCTGGGTAAGTCCCCTCCTTCTCCAGGCCTCAGCTTCCCTATTTGTGTAATGAGGAAGATGGGTTAGGTAGTATTGCCCAGGCCCTGGCCACAGGGCCTGGTTCCTGGAAGGGAAGAGGCTGAGCCAGATCTGGGCCCAGTGCTCTGGGGTTGCTTCCTCAGGGCAGGTTGGGGCTCCAGGGTGACGAGACCACCATGAAAGGTAACATCCAAGCCAAGGCAACCCTGGTGAGGTCAGGACCCAGACTGTCAGGAGTCATCCTCTCCTGATGGGGGCATCATATGCCAAGGGAAGGGGTTAGGGTCCTACACGCAGATGAGGCCAGGCCTGCCCCAAGAACATCCCTCACCCTTCTTCTCTGGAAGCCCAGGCCCAGGAGAGACTGGGCAGAGGAACCTGAGAGGCAGTCCATAGCACTAGAGTTTAGATAAAGGTATTTCTCACTCCTCGCCCAAGGCACCCCTGCTGATTTTACCCCTCCCTGGGAGCTGTGTGTTTGGTATGCCTCTGACCCAATCCCTATCTTCACCTGGAACCGCCTCTGATTACAGCATCCTACTGCCTACTGGCCATCCCATCCCAGTGTCCAGACAGCTCAAACCAAGTCTATCCAAAACTGAACTCAGTGACCTCCCCAACCCTAACCTGCTCCTCCCCTCGTCCTACCTTAGTCATCCCAGCCAGAAACCTGGGACTCCTTCATTCCTGTACTTCCCACATCCAGTCTTTCACCAAGACATAGCAAGTCTCCAAATACCCATAAATCCCTGTCTTCCTCTCCATCCCCTCTGTCATTGTCCAGCCACCACCATATTTTACCTGCTGTTAGGTGCTGTTGAGTCAATTCCAACGCACAGTAACCCCATGTGACAGAGTAGAACTGTCCCATAGGCCTTCCTAGGCTGTAAGCTTTACAGGAACAGATCACCAGATCTTTCTTCTGTGGAGCCACTGGATGCATTTGAACCGCCAGTCTTTCAATGTGAAGCCAAATACTTAATGATTGCATCACCAGGGCTCCCATCTCCCACCTGGCTATTATGAAATCCTCCTTACAGTCTTTCTGCCTCCAATCTTGCCCTTCCAATCATTTTACAATGGTACTCAGATATCCTTGAACAATGCCAATCTGACCACTCTTCTCCTTATGATGTAGCTCCTCACTGAAAAGCCTACTGTGATCTGGTCCCTGCCCACCTATCTGGCCTCATCTCTAACCACCATCCCCCACACCCTAGTTCTAGTTGTATGGATCTACCTGTGGATTCCCTAACCTCTTCAGGAGTGATGTGCCCTCTCCTGCAACACCTTGGCCCCTCCTATGGCCAGTGAGCGTCCACTCATCCTCCAAGGCCCAACTGCAATGTCTCCTCCTCTGGGAAGCCTTCCCCACCCCCTCTATACCCAGGCAAAACTGGTGACACTCTCCCCTGGGCTGAACCAGAGCATTTCCCATCATGCACCCGCAAAGGCTTGTTTACAAGTCTGACTTGGCCTGGCTGAGCTCCTTGAAGACAAAGCTCTGCTTTATTTATTTTTGGTCCATGGAGAAAGGCTCAGAGAATGTGAGAAGTGGAGGGAGGGAGGGAAAGAGAGAGAAAGATGGAAGGGAAAAAAGGCAGGAAAGAAGGAAAGGATAAATCAAGAAAAGGTATTGGAGAAGAATTCATTCATTCATTCATTCAACAAATATCTATTAACTTCATACCAGGCACTGTTCTAGGCACTTAGGATACAACAGTAACAAGCTGAAGTGACCAGCAACTGACTCAGTACTTCCAGGTGACTTTGGGGTGTGCATGCAAGTGCATGCATGTGTGGGCACACATGCACACATGTGTGCATGCCTCTGTGTGTGTGTGTGAGAGAGAGAGAGGGAGAGAGAGAAAGAGAGAGAGGGAGAGAGAGAAAGAGAGAGAGAGAGAGAGAGAACACATGTATGAAAGCCCTTTCATCTGCAAGGGCCTGCTGCCGGGGCACCTGTCTTCTCTAGGGCCTAGTGCTTTTAGCATCTGGCCCCAGCTCCTGTTGCAGCCCGAAATAAGGCTGTGACCCACAGCAGGGCAGAGCCAGAGTCTCGTCAGCAGAGGCCAGAGCTGGCTGCAGGGCAAAACACTGCTTGATGACCACCCATTGCCAACACGGACCCCGGCTACTCACTTTCAGCTCCAGACAGAGGGTTTGACCTTGAGGGCCTAATACTCCTGCCTGTCCACTGTGGCCCCATTCTCTCAGGTACCAGATCCCAGGGGAGCTGGGGAGCTGTGGGGAGCGGACAAGGGAGCCGAGCCAATTCCCAGGGCCCCTTCCCCCCAGGCAGAGGAAGGGTCCTGCACAGGGCGGGGGAGTATGGGCCTCACAGAAGCCTGGACCCTGGGTTAAGAGAAGAGGGACTCCAAGTTCTAGGTTACTCTTTGTTAAATGGGGAAGGTGTGCCTAAGATTAGTGGTGGTGGCACGCAATGGCTCTGCTCATGACTTCATCATTTTTAGGCAATAGAGAGTAGTAGATTCCCTGTCTGTACAATGAGAGGCGGTTCCCAGTGTCTATGAATTTCTGCAAGGGTGTATTTATGGAGAATGTATCCATGCCCTGTGGGATCCTAAATGGTCACAGTGGTGGAATTCTCCATCACCTCATGACCCTCATTCCAAATGTATGCAGGCACACTTAAGTGTGCATACAGTTCAGGGGGTTGTAGATTCCCTGAAGCTCACCTGTAGATCCTCATGATCTAGCCCATCCTGTTTTTGTTACAGGCAGGGGAACTGAGGCACAGAGCAGGATAGCAACTTGTTCATAGTCACAAAGGCAATCAAGGGCCAGAGCCCAATGACCTGGGGCCAGGTGTAAAGATGGAGGCAGATTGTTTTTCTAAATGAAGGAGCTTAAAACTGTCTGGAAGCAAAGAGGCAGGCACAGGGGTGGGCAGCCATTTGGGGAGCTCAAAGTCACTCTGCCTTCCCTCCTGGGGAGAAGTTAGAGAATCTGGATTTGGGCCTGCTGGGGTTCTCTGGGACTCTGGACCTCATGTTATTTGTAAATCTCCTCCAAGACTCCTGGAAAGAGCTGTAAGATGCAAATGGGGAACTGGAAGAGGAGACGAGAAGAAAAGGAGGAAGGCGAAGGGGTGAGGGAGAAAAGGGCACCATGGAGGTTGGCCCGAGGATGCAGAGGATTTGGAGCAGCTGAGAGGGGGGTCTCTCAGCTTTAGTGGATTGATCACCTGTCCTCTTGAGTCTCTTCTGGACCAAATACCAGTGATGAGAGGGGAGGACCAGCACTGCAGACCCTAGTATAGCAGCATAACTCTCTCGCTCCCAGGAACCCACACGTCCTTTGCCTCTGACTTAAACCTCCTACCTCTTTCATTCTGTGCTCAGAATTTTCCTGGGTCAGCAGCTGACAATACTTTCTGAAGCCCTCTCCCTCCTAATATACTCCTCCCATGTCCCTGGCACCACTAGCTCTACTGATCAAGAGTCTAGGCTTGGGAAACAGCCCCAGAGTCTACCCCCTGAAGAGAGAGTGCTTCCCTAGCAACATGGAAGAAGATTTGTGTGACCTGGAGCACCTCCCTAACCTTCCCTGGACCTCAGTCTCCTCTGTACCAAAAGCCCCCACTCTGTGGACTGGCCAAGGCTGGTACAGGGCTGGAGCTGGATGAAGCAGGGTCATGGAGGTCTGGGGAGGAAAAGGGGGATGGATACAGCCTGGCTCATTTGCAAGCTCTGGTAATGCACTGGTTAAAGCATTTGGCTGCTAACCAAAAGTTGGTGGTTCAAACCCACCAGTTGCTCCTTGGGAGAAAAATGAGGCAGTCTGCTTCTGTAAAGATTTACAGCCTTGGACACCCTATGGGTCGGTTCTCCTCTGTCCTATAGGGTCACTATGAGTTGGAATCAATTCAATGGCAGTGGATTTGGTTTTGGTTTTCTCTGTAGGATGATCCCCAAGGAGAAGGAACCTGTGATGAGTGCCATGGGGGACTTCACTGAACCAGGTAAGGTGGGTCCAGCACTTTCCTCAGACTCTGGCCCCTCTGGGTCCCAGACCTGGGCAAACAGGTGTGAGTTCCAGGCCAGTCCTGAGGGATCACCTGTGGAATCTGCCACCAGAACTGGGAAGCTTCCTGAGGCATTGAGAGGGACCTTGTCCTTTATGTCCACGGACCCAGGAGCTAGGGTTGAGTGCCCCAGACTGAGCTCTGGCTCTGGCCCTGAAATGACCATAGTCCTGGCCCAAGTTGAGCCCTTATCTCAGTCCCAAAGTAAGCTCTGAGGGCTCTGGTCCTGGATCAAGTCCAAGCTGTGGCCACCCGCTCCCCACACATTAATCCTTGTTCATCATAACTGTAAGGATCCCTGGGTGGTGCAAATGATTTGTGTACTCCCACTAATGTAAAGATTAGCCATTTGAACTCCAGTGGCTCCACCTAAGAAAGGCCTGGTGATCTACTTCCATAGAGGTCACAGCCAAGGAAACCCTATGGAACAGTTCTACTCTGTAACACGTGGGGTCACTATGAGGGGGAATTGACTGACAGCAAGGGTTTTTTTGTTTGTTTTACCATACCCATGGGTTACAGGGCATCCAGGATGGCTCAGGGTAGCCCAGCCTCAAGGCTAGAGATAAGGGGTTAGGGGGAGTGGAGCAGAGCAGGCTACCCAACTTGACTCAAACCATTTTACCTAAGAGCCTACTCATCTAATGAATGAATCATCTAAAATACATCAACTTTACAAGACCTCTTCCAGAACTCTTGGCACAATTTTGGAATCTGCTAATTTGGCCTACTTTAGAGCATGTCAAGTATTTTTTAAATTAATTCAACTAAGTCAGGGCTCTCAAACTTTAGCATGAAATCATACTGACATGCCAATGTTGGTCACAAATGCAGATTCCTGGCATCCACCCCCAGGGATTCTCATTCAGTGACCTGGCATGCAGCCTATACATTTGCCTTTTAGACAAGTACCCAGGTGGTTCTGACAGGTGGACAGTAAATCTAGCTCTGATAAACACTTGTCTAAGTGCAGGTCTGCTGTTTTAATGCCCTCCAAGCTCTAAGGAGTACTTAACCCTGTTGAATGACTTGTCATCATTTTAACATCTTTTGTGTGTTCTTGTCTCCTTTAATTGGTGCCTAGTTTTTTTTGTCAGGTACTGATGCTCTAAATGGAGGAGTCAGGCTCCAAATTCTCTTTCTATTGTTTAAATAATTAATCATAGAATCCAAAATATTGACAAAAAACAAAAACCAAACCAGTTGCCATCGAATATTGACACACATTGTCTATGCCTAACTTGAACTCTAACAATTGTTCCTGATTGCCAGAGCATTCATTAAAGACAATTTTGAAACTAAGGTAGAATGAAAAAAAGAGATCTCACGGTCTCACTGCCAAAACTCAGCCACTGAAAAGTGCTAAGACAAAAGCCCCATTATTGTATATTTACTATGCGTCAGATACTGTGCTAAGGGCTTTTATGCCTATGTCATTTAATCCTCACAACAATCCCGTAAGTTAGGTATTATTATTATTGACATTTTGAAGTTGAAAAAACAGAGGCTGAGAGGGGTGAGGCAGTCAGACAACTGTTAGGTGGCAGGCTGAGATTTAACTCTAGATCTCTTTGTCTCTAGAGCCACTTTTTAACTATATGGTTATAAAAATAATCATCCATCTTATTAAACATTTAGACAAGACAGACGTGAATGCCTTTGAAAGAGATTGTTCCTCATAATGGAACCATCTGGAGATAAGTACTGTTAACATATTTGTGGAAACCCCTCTTCTGCTCATATATAAACATATATTTCTATCAACAAATACACTGCATGTTGTGTTCTTCAGCTTGCTTTGCTTTTCATTTAGCAGCATACCACAGACTTCTTTCCATCCTACTGCCTCCCCTTTCCCCACTCTCCCAGAATATTGTTTGAACAAATCACAAGATGCTTAATCAACCTAACGATGGTCATGAGGGTTTGTTTGCCTTAGGTTGGGATGCTTAGCAGTGAAGCCTATGGATTCTTCGCAAGTGATTTGTTGAGAGCGGGCTCTCAGGAGCAGAGAAGTGAGGGAAGCAGGATGGGCAGGGGGAATTGCTTAAGTGAGGGTGTGCTCCAGGTTCAGTCTGACCTCTGGGAGGCTCTGGGGCATGAATTGCACGACAGAATTCATTCTTCCTGAGGCAGAGGGTCATAGCAGTTTCCACCCCACTGGGCATTTCTCTGCAGAAGGTAACAGTTGTAAATTATTGGAAAAAAAAAAAAAAAAAACTCACTGCCTCAAGTGAATTCAACTCATAGTGACCCCTCCCTGGGTTTCCGAGGTAGTGTCTCCAGGGAGGGAGCTCTGGTAGTGCAGTGCCTAAGTCACTTGACTGCTAACCAGAAGGCTGGCAGTTCAAACCCTCCTCAGAAGAAAGATGGGGCAATCTACTTCCATAGTGATACTGCCTTGGAAACCCAAGGAGGGGTCGTTATGAGTCGGGTCTGACTCGAAGGCACATAACAACAACAACAACAATCTCTAGGGAAGTAGATTGCTCAATCTTCCTTCTGAGCAGTGGCTGGTGGATTTGCACCACCAGCCTTCTGGTTAGCAGTCAGATGCCTTAGGCAGTATGCGGCCTGAGCTCCTGGTAAAGGGCATCTGGGCAGCAGCATCCACTACAAGATTGATAGCCAGTTTCCAGAATTTTTAAACCCACTGCAATAAATGTCTTTTTGTGTGTATATCCTTATATGTGTGTGTGTATCTTTGGTCATGTTTGCTTACTCAAACATGTTTTATTTATTGTTTTTCTTTTCTTTCTTTCCTTCCTCTTTTTTTTCTTCTTCAATACTGAGCTCAGTTCATCTGGGTAGTATTTGAGAATATGATGCAAGTGGGCATTTTATCTGTATTTAGGTGTAAATAGTCTTTCATATTTTTAAGAAAAAAAAAAAAAAAATTTGAGAACAGTTTCCAGTCCTTTTTCTTCCTGTGTCCTATAAGTAATCCATTGCTGTGGAGTCAATTTTGACTCATGATAACCCATGTGTTACAGAGTACAACTGCCCCACAAAGTTTTCTTGGCTGTTCTATGGGAGAAACATGAGCCAGCCTGCTTCCACAAAGATTTACAGCCTTGGAAATCCTATGGGGCAGCTCCACTCTGTCTTAAGGGGTCACTCTGAGTTGGAATTGACATTTGACCAGAAGATGGCAGAGGGTTATTGTTTGGAATTTTTATGGAAACAGATTCGCAGGCCTTTTTTCCATGGTTCTGTTGGGTGGATTAGAACTGTCAACTTTTGGCTTAATAGACAAGCACAAACAGTTCACACCACCCAGGGAATAAGTAGTCACTGCTAATATCTGCTATGTCATCTTGTAGGTTTTTCAATGCATGCACAAGCATGTAATT